CTTTTTAGCACCCTCCCCCCCCCCCCCAAAAAAAAGACATAAGTAAAAGATTTTACACAAAATCTAATTTGTTCTAGATTTTATTTATACAACTCACTGGTTGCTTAAAGCATATTTTGGTAATGTTGATATAAAATATTCTAGTGGTCTTAAAGACAGGTTTCTGAAGAGTCTCCTTACAGAGAACAAAGGTACTGAGTTATGGTTTGCAATCCCATATGGTTTCCTTCTCAACCCCACCCTTAAACAACACCTTTCTAGTGCTATGAACAACTGACAGGGCAGTGACCAACAATGATTGATATGTATGAATACATCTCCTGGTCAATTATTAGTCTACTAATGAGGTCTGAAACTATGAATGAGGTAAAGGTCATCCAAGTTCTATGAATTTCTTGGAAATGTATTTTCACGATGTTCATGATTGGAGGCTTTCAGTAATTGTGTAAGAACATCTTTTTCCTGATTATGAGGGCTCAAGACAAGATTTACTGCTTCCTGCTAAGATAAAGACTTAATTCATTTCATCTCTGATAACAAACAAAAATCCATTCCAATGGCACATTTACTAGCCAATCCTCTTCTGCATGTGATATGAACAAAATTACCAAATATTAAGTAACCAAAGTTGAGTCTGGAATGTCAGACTAGTAAGTCTTAGATCATCCCTTGGGTGGGTCTATAGATTCCATCTGTCACACTTCATTAGAGGATGTTCCTTCATCAAAGTGACATCAGGAAATAAATGTTGTAATAAATGTGGTCAGCAACTCCCTTGAGCTGCTGTTTGTTGATGTAAGAGTAGTCACATCCTACGGCTCACAGAGCCGGCGAATCAGCAGTTTCGCTGATTGGACTTGACAACACAGGAACAAATGGATGTGTGTTAATATTTCTTCATACAATATTTTATTCTAAGCCTTGCAAATACTGTTGTACATGATACCATTCTATAAAAACTATTCCGAATTAGAACTTGAAGTATGAAGAAAAAATGTATCCTCCTACATAATCACAGCAATTAGACCATATGATGGTATCTATTGTATTGTTACAAAATTACTTTGTGTCTGGTAGAACACCATGTCAGGTGTGATTGATTTGACATTAACACATTACAGAAAAGCAAAGGGCACCTGGTCTGTACAAACCCTCTGATAATTGCACCCTCTAGACTTTAGCTGATATTGAATCATGACCTATTTAGAAAATTAGCTGTGAAGCAGAGCTGGGATCGAGATCTCCCGGATCTTGAGGCATGCTTTGGGCGTACCCGGAGATTTTGTCTGTCACTGACTACTTGAGAATGTTCCTCGGTTGACTTGGGATTTAAGGATGTGCATGTATTAATTAATGTGGTCAACTCCTCCCATGGTACTACAACAATAGAAGCATGAACGCAGAGTAAAAGAATCTAATGTAAGACAGGAAGGACATCTCACAAGTCTGACACGTTAATATCTCTGTTTGTTCCAAGGAGATTTCATCCTTGGAGAGATACAGAATTATATGCTTTGTCAAAAAATATAATGTCAGGAAAAGAGGACTGAATAAGAAAATAAAAATACAGCTAATTTTGCTGACACATTCCCAAAAGTCATGAATACTGTAAGAATAATAAAAGGTGCAATATTTCACACAGAAAATCCAAACACCATCAACCCCTCCTCCCCTCCCCAATCAAAAAGAAATTGAATAAATAACTAAACTGCAGTGGTGCCGCCAAATTTTCAATCACAGTGCTGTTTTCACTGTTTATCTTGGAATAGAAACTGTATCATGACATCGAACTTTACAAATCAAGACAACCTCTTCTTTGTCTGAAAACTATATATCTGCTATATCAAAACTTTGATGGTCTACATACATGGCTATGGCAGTGGAAAGATAAAGACATACCAATGAAAGATGGCACATGAAATTAAGATGATCTTCGGAAAGGCATGCTAAGAGAACATGTCTATCAATAGGGATGTATTGGCAGTAGATTCCCTTGTTAACATTCAGGTGAGGATGTTAGTGTCTGCATTTGATACGCCTTTCCTCCAGGAGGAAGGAAAGATGCTAACATCAAAGAGCAACATCAAAGATTAAAATAGCTGATCACCATTTTTTTCTATCTCTCATCCTGTGACCTTAGATAAAAATCATGTATCATTGGTGAAGGGTAAATACCTTGGCTAGGTGATGCAAATACAACTAATCTTGATAGATTACATAGAGATAATAATCTCTTAGCAAGAATGAATTTCACATTTTGAATGATTTTTAATTTTCTTAAATGACATTGTTGGAATGGACATTTTCTTGGTGGCACATAGATTTCCCCCTCCCTCTCTGGGTTGATTAAAGGTTACCATCATACTTTGGTCTAGATTTGCACTTGTGGGGTTATACATGTTTATGAAAAACATATAGTTACAATAAGAATCACTTTAAAGGTGACTGATGAATAAAGACTGTCTTTACATTATCTTTATTGCTGGCTTCCATCCATTTTAACCAAATGATTATGCTATTTTGAAATTTCTATGGCTTTTGATCAATCTGAGTGCATCAGGTATGATCTTTTTCCCTTTTTCGGTGAGACAGTAAACAGTGTAAAGCTCTTCCTCTTAAAGTTAAAGAAACAAGGTTAATGGGTCATTAGTATTTCATCTGGAGGGAGTTTATCAAAACATTTGTTCTGCACTTGCACTTTCATAGGTTCACAAGACCTTATAGTACAAAAGTGTCTTCTCAAAAGAATATTTGCTTCACGTACTCGTTTTGCTGCATCTTTACAGACCAGAAAACCCCAATTCATCTTGGTGAATATCTTGGTATATAATATATAATATGGCTGGGATGACACAACCTAGTAACGTAAATTTTTTTCTCACAATCTTGTCGTTTATTTTCTGATGACAAAGTTCATCAGCCAATCTACAGTCAATCTACAAAGACAACACCTATTTTCAGACAAAAGAATCCCATGATTGGTTCTAATGCACAAAATAACTTTCGTGCATTAGAACTTGCAAGCTTTTGTTAACTTGGTGACAATGTCTCATGACAAATGCTTACAAATTTGGAAGGTTCTTTTATGTAGTCACATTACTAAAGCAAATTAACCTTACCATCTACCTCTCTAGCCTCATGTCACTGATACATCAGAAGAAAGTGTCAATCCCTAATAAATACAAGTACTCACACCTCACGCTTCCATTCACCCCCATGCACACTACATCAACAACAGCAACAGGAAGTTTGTCAATTACAAGAAAACCTTCCACAAACACACACAGCACCTGCTGTCTACAAACTTTCAATGTCAAATTCATCGAGGTACCAAGAAGGTGTTTGTCATCCTGATATAAGATCACATAGAATATCTTGACCTTGAGTGTGGTTACTCATCATGGCCTCTCTGTCTTGCACTTGATAACAAGGGTACTTGAAGAGCAGTTGCACCTACTGTTGGTGTTCTTTACATTAGCAATTCTGAAGGGGATTGGTTGCATGTTATTAGGAAAAGTACTTCCAGATAGGCCACTGTATGAGGTTTAGATCAATATTTTTTTTTAAAGCAATGCCACCATTTTAAGACACAAACTAGATGGAATTCGACTGCGCGCAGTCGAAAATGATGCCTCCGTCATAGAGCAATTTTACAAACCAAAACGGAAGAAATTTTTCAAATTCAAGTTCAATTGTAATCCATTAACAGGTTCTCAGAATATCGTGATTACAAACAATTTCTCATATACATATATGACCCTTTGAACTTTGACCTCATGATCCTAATATCTACTCAGCTCATTGGCTCTGCAAGATATCCAGAGTTAAATAGTAATCCATCTGTCAGTTCTAATGAGAATGCGTTCACAAGCTATTTTTGCATACATAATGAGCCCATGACCTTGGACCTTATGAACCAAGAATCTACACAGTTCATTGGCTCTGCAAGATACATAAATGATCTAAGTTTGGCAGGAATCCATCAATCTGTTCTAATAATAACGCGATCACAAGCTGTTTTTGCATACATAATGAGCCCTGTGACCTTTGACTTTTGACCTCGTGACCCCAAAATCTAATCAGTTCATTGGCTCTGCAAGATACATACATGACCAAAGTTTGGCAGGAATCCATCTATCGGTTCTTCAGATAACGCGATCACGAGCCGTTTTGCATACATAATGGGCGCTGTGACCTTTGACCTTTGACCTCGTTACCCAAAATCTAATAAGTTCATCGGCTCTGCAAGTAACATACATGACCTAAGTTTGGCAGGAATCCATCAATCGGTTCTTGAGATAACGCGATCACAAGCTGTTTTTGCATACATAATGAGCCCTGTGACCTTTGACTTTTGACCTCGTGACCCCAAAATCTAATCAGTTCATTGGCTCTGCAAGATACATACATGACCAAAGTTTGGCAGGAATCCATCTATCGGTTCTTCAGATAACGCGATCACGAGCCGTTTTGCATACATAATGAGCCCTGTGACCTTTGACCTTTGACCTCGTGACGCCAAAATCTAATCAGTTCATCGACTCTACAAGATACATACATGACCAAAGTTTGGCAGGAATCCATCAATCGGTTCTTCAGATAACGCGATCACGAGCTGTTTTTGCATACATAATGAGCCCTGTGACCTTTGACCTTTGACCTCGTGACCCCAAAATCTAATCAGTTCATCGACTTTGCTAGATACATAAATGACCAAAGTTTGGTAGGAATCCATTGATCCGTTCTTCAGATAACGTGATCACGAGAACGGGACGTACGTACAGACGTACGTACAGACGTACGGACGGACGGACGGACGGACGGACAACCCGAAAACATAATGCCTCCGGCTACTTCGTAACGGAGGCATAAAAAGGGATTACTACCAGAAGTGGTTTGCATATACAAATATATTTAATGAATACAGCAGAAGAAAGAAATTGCAACATAAATTTTTTGGGGGAATGTACTCTTAGAATACTACATCTTTAGTGACTAACCTGAGTGCTAGAAGGGAAGGAGTGTTGGATAAGACAGCGTTCCTCCAAGCTGGATCCCCTTCATGAGCTATCACCAGGTTCTGTTCATGGCTTGAGATAGCATCATACAGGGCTTGATGGTCATCATACTCCTCAGGTGATGTGAAGTGATCCTAAAAGGAAAATATAGAGCATGATTAGAAATATGATTCTAAGATAACTACCCCATGACTATCACATCCCTGGAAACCTTTCTCCTAGGAACACCACCTGCTCCCCACCCCAACACTCTAAATTCAATAACCCCTAAAGTAGTTGTCCATACCTATTATCATTGATTTAGCTGTGTGCATTTGGCATAGAATGCCCAGTCAAATACTAGAAGAAATGCAAGGCATGATTATCTTATTATCTTGTTGTAATTGATGTAGGTAAATGTCACATTTACTTTCAGCAATTTGGCTTTTGTACTTGATAGATCAAAAGGACGCTGTAACACCTGGTCAGCATCTCAACATCCTGGACGTCACATATTTTGTGAATCATATTCTCAAAAGAGGTTGAACATAGCATGTTCTCATTTGATACAGCTAGACGAATTCCCATTAACACTACAGAATTTCCCTGAGCAGGAGATGTCATGTTCTTACCTGATGTAGTTTGAGGGACATCCTGACTCCAGGAGCGACACACCTTCTCAACATCTCCACATCCTGGAAGACCCATTCATCCCTGGGGGACGTGATACGGAAGTCACCCTTGAACAACGCATGGAGACCATACAGGAACGACTCCAGGATGCTGAAAGGTAATCAACAAAATTGGGTAAGATATCAAGGTTATACTCATATATGATTTCCACCATTTTCTCCAGTCTTATGAAGCATAATTTAAATTTAATCTGTATATCATATACAACATGCTAATTGTCAAGAAGGAATCCATTTTAGAGGGCAAGTGGCAACTGCAATAGGGGTTCAGTGGATTTTAAGTAGAAAGCAGAGGATTTAAAACTAGAAAAGAGCCAGCCAGTAATGAAAAACTACTGAAAGTTCTGGAATACTACATGTATAATACCATTATGGAACAAAATGTAAAAACCGAGCAAAGATACTTTTAAAGAGGTAATTCATTGTTATAACTTTTAGGACAACACTTTCAAATATTTTTCATTCCTTATCCAAGTTCTTATGCTACCAATGATTGTAATGTAGTATTTACCTTGTTGAGAGGTGATGTGATGCTGTACCTAAAGCTCTCCTTCCCAAAACACAAAGCCCAAAGCACAGTGTGACCAGCTGAGAATCTTTACCACTCTCGATTGGCTAGAAACAAAGAGAAATTGTGTACATTTCACATTGTTACAGCAGTTGCTACAAACAACTACTCTGAATACAAAAACATAAACTGTCTGTAGAATCACTGGTAACATACATGTATAAGAAACAATGGTACAATTTATAAAACCATTAAATTAAATTTCATTTATATATCAATTATTCACTTTCAAGATACTTAAGAATAGAATGTATATTCACACCCCTCCCCCTCTCTCTTTCTCATCAGCATAGAGGTAGTGACAATAACACTAGCACTATGAGTAAACAATCTTATCACTGTACCATCATTCTCATGAGTTGAGGTATCTAGTTTCTTGTAGGAGAATATGTTTGAGAAGTAAACGCCATCAAAGAAAGAATTAAAGAAAGCTCATGATGTCATGCTACAAAGGCCAAGGTCAGCAATTAACAGGACAACCTTAATTCTGCGAATACTTTACCCATGATAATATAAAGCAAGAATGTCAGTGACCAATTATGAAAGCCACATGATTACTCGTCATAGGGAATAAAGAAAACCAATGAGTTACTAAACCAACTAACTATTTTTTGACCCTTGGATCTATTATTACTATTATCTGTAAGTCTCAAGACCTCAAGACTAACCTCCAAGAAAATGTTTCTCGTAACTTACCTCCTGTCTTCTACTTGCACAATGCTGTATCCACTCCAGATAGCAGTCACAGAAGCTATCACGGGTCACCCCCTTCTTGACCTGGTCGTAGTCATCGTCGATCTTAGGGTTAAAGGTCGGGTCACAGTCCACGTATTTGGGTACAGTGGTGTCTTCGAGGGCAGCAGACAAGGATTCACTCTCAAGCCATTGGCTGAGCTTCGGGCAGCGTACAACATAGTAGATGATACTCTGTGGAAGGACAAGAATTATACAGCAAATGAATTTGTGAAGCTTTCCTTCTTTATGCAATGTAGATGAATGAATATCAATGACATATCAGCCTCCCTTTTTGTGTTCAATGTGATAAAAGTAAAAGCAGAACAACACACTGTCAATATAAATGGTAACATGTAATATTTCTAAAATGTTGTTGTATTATACTTCAATATAACACACAAAACACTGATCAGACCATTATGAATGACAGAAAGTAGTCATTTTAAGTTCTCATTTCACTTATTCAGACATCCTCATGTCGAGGAAAACAAAAGCAGTTCTTTGAAGGAGATTGAAAGATAAATAATTTAATTATTTCATGAACAATTGAGGACCTCTGATAATTATCATCTAGGTCTTGATGATGGATTCTTTTTTAGATTCAATTTCTTTATTGTATTATTTATAAAAGCACACCATGTGTAAACTGATATATCCCACATCAAAACCAATTTTCTTGTCAATCCATAGCTTTCATTGTATTTGTGTTGTGCTTGGATTATCATTCCCAGAACCTTTATAAACCCATAAATCAGGACAATTCTCTACAGACTAGTACTTTCAAAAACAGAGTAATTACAGGATAAAACAATCTGTCGGTCATCAACAAGAGCTAAAGGAGGGCAGAATAATCTTCAGGATATATGCGTATTGAGAGTGACTCTCAAAGGAGGATTTGGATTTATCAACCAGAAAGCAGAAAGAAACCACAATGTGGAGGAAATAAATCAAATCTGGATGTATTTCCTGTGGCAAGAAATGGCTACATTTCAAAGAGAGGGCAAAGACCCTGTAAAGTGACATTTTTTTCTTTTCTTTTCACAATGAAAGAATTATAGCCTAATGATAAATATGTAAGAAATCAAAATTACAGTTGCAGTGAAATTAATTTCTTGTTGCTTTCAACAGCAGTATCAAAAGAGAATTATTGTTAAATCACATTATTAATGATTTAACATTCCATGATGTTTCATTCAACAGAAGCACAAACAAAAATACAGTGTAATAGGGTGTTAATGTACACTATAAAACAATGTAAAAATGTAATATTGGCAATTGTATCAACTCAGCACCCATACGTATCTCGACACCTTGACAGTTAATCTTGTATGACAGGCACAGGAAGAGCGTACTCTCTCCCACACTGATCATGTGATTAAACATAAACTTCACCCTGTACTCTCTGGGGAATCCCCCTTGAGGAAAGGAGGGTAAGAAACAAGAATTGCAAGGAAATGTTCTGCTTCAGATCAGGTGATTCTCAAACATTTTATTCAGTCATTTACAAGAGAGGGAGATACAAGAACGGACAATGCTTATGGTGAACTCAGCTGTTTGTATTTTGGTAATGGTTTATTCTACTTTAAGGTCGTCTTCAGGTCAAATAATAGGCAATAATGAACTTGATTCAGATTCCTATCACTCTCATTTTTCATCCACATGATATTCTAATGTTTCCCGTCCTACTAAAATTTGTATTGTTTCCCATTAAAACAAAACCTAATTATTCTACCCACATAATCCCTGTGCCCACTCCCATATCATACAACAAACACTTATTTTTCTAAGAAGAGAATTCTATTGAGTGGGAGAGCACCCAAAATAAATTTAAAAGGTTATTGTTAATTGATAGCATAGTTATATTAAACTCTTTTTTAAAAGGGTAGTAAATTTCCTAATTAAATATCAAGTCAGTTCCTACTTAAATATCAAGTCAATTCCTCATTTTCCACATGTCTTTTTGCCATATTTGTGATTCTAACAAATTGAGACTTTAAATTTCTTTCCTCTCAAGTAGAGACCTGTGTATTCATTCTTCCCTATATCCCTGATTTTTTCTTATAATTCTCCAATACACTTCCTCACTTATCGTTAGCTATGCGGCTTGAACATGCTAATTGATTATGATTTCAAACATGACATTTCCCTAGAATGTTAATGATACATCATATTTTACCAGTTACTGAGAGCATGAACCAATTTCTCTTTCCTCTAAGGAACAGCCTACGCAAGGTTGCTAATTATCACTATCGATGACTGAAATCTTTGGGTGATTACATCACAACAAGAATAACTTTTCTATACTGCATGATAACACACTGAGATATTATCAATATTGCCCTTTGCATTAATGACAAAAAAGAATATTCCAATTTCTTGACAAAATCAACATTTTCATTGAAATAGAGATCTTTACGGTCTACTGAATAAGTTCTTGATTTCCTACATATCACATTTAATTTCACCATAGGAGGGGTGATTGTCTCAAGAGTGCCGTATGTTAACAAGGTTATAGAAAGACATGATATACACTCCCCTAACTCTGCCATTCCTCAGCAAATTAATGTCTGACATTAAGTTTGTGTCATGTCTCAAACGTTTTTATTACGTATGTACATTATCAGATTTTGTTCCCGATATGCACATGGTAACCCATACTATGAAAAGATCTTAAAATCAATCAGCATCCGCACAAGCCAAAGGGGACTTGAGAAACAAAGTGATATCATTCTTATTTTTATCACATAGTGATATATTAATCATAAAATTATATCTTAATTAAATACTGATCATGAAATGTAACATTTCGATGTCAGGTACAGACAATAACAAAAAATGAGTAAACGTTATTCCAGTGCCTGTCTACACAAGACTATGATTAAATACTGCCACCTTTGACAATGATTTGCATGCTTCAAAGGAAGCTTTATAACTAAGGAATGCATCTAGCCAATCAACAGTTGTGTTTTTCTCCAATCTCTCATTTTTAAGCAGGGCCCCATTTCATAATTTTCATAAAACTTGTAATCAATAACAAATTGTAAATTTCCATGACAATTTTGCTCTCAGCCACTCAAATGCGATGGTTTCAGTAGCTTATAACAGTAATTGTAACTTGCCATTTATAAAAAGTTTTAAGAAACAGGGCCCAGGTATGCTCTTTGGTCCAAATGAAAATAAACAGTGTGTGTCTGCAGGGACCATTCAGACAGATGGAATATGATTGATTGGCAAGATAAAGTTCTTTGTCCGAAGGTTGAGTGGTGATATAGTTTAAAGATCATCAAATCATATGTAGGCCTGCCCTGCCAGTATAGATACGAGATGGGTAGCAGGTGATTATTGATTGGGATATTGTTGGATAGTTGTTAAAAACCCTTGATTGAAGATGTCATGAATGTTTAGGCTATGTAACTCACCTTGACATAGTATGTGATGAGGATGTTGCGTAGATCAAAGACTTGAAGCATGGAAGAAGCACAGTTATCAGAGATGCTGTACCCTAGGAGTACATACTTGCTAGCGGTCACCTGCCAGGCTAACCATCGCTGACCGAACGCAGCATTGGCTGATAGCATCCTGGGGAGATGACCAGGCTCACAGCAACAACATCCTGGGGAAGACATTGTTAGAATGTCAAAGGTCATGTTGTTTATAGGAATAACACTGGGCAAACAATAAAAATGGAGCTTAAAATCAAATATCTTAGTGTTTAAAATCGAAACACAGCACAAGTTCATTTACTTAATCTACTGACAAAGTACTACATCTCAGGAAACAATTGTTACTTTAAAAAAAGGGATTGTTGACATATGATACCTTAATAGTTGCTTTGGGTAAGGAATAGACAAATATAATGAAAATTGCAAAAACATAACATGACACTAAATGCTATCAGACACACAAAGACATTGGCTACTGCAAGAATGAGATCCACAATCCTCCTTCATCATTATGGTAAACCTATAACATCTACCGGTACTGTATTACTATTACTTACCATCGTCTTCATCCACTCCTTCTGTGATAGCCTCTACCTCCCTCTGCTGGCAGTATGTCCCTGAAATAAAAGAAAGTAGTATGGTTGATGAATATCACTTGGCTTGATACAGTGATCAGATTTTTCCTTACCACTATTGTAGATCAAAATGTCATATTCACTATGAACTAAGAACCCAAAGTTGGGTAAACCTGCTATACCTCTACATGTCATATCTGTATTTTAACGAAATCCCTTCAATACTTCTGAAGGTATCGTGGTATAAATAAGGGACAAACAGACATTCATTTGAACAAACAAACAGACAACCAGAAACATAAGGTCTCAAGCTATTATAAGCAAGCGATAAAATCTACGCCATTACAAGTGCCTCTTTTCCAAAGCAAGCAGATACTATCATCATACACTCACCTCTGAATTCAAGTCCGCGAAGCTGGAATGTGAGGAAGCCATTACCCATCTCCACTATGTGTACCAGAGCATTGAGGTAGTCAGAGGCTAGGATGAAGCAATCTCCGGCCATCACATTACCCCAGCGACCCAACACCAGATCACCGCATAGACTCTCCTGCAGGGATCGCGTCAGGTGCTCGTAGAAGATGGAATTCAGATTGTTGTCATCAGCACCTTGAAAGTATGAAATAGGAAATAGGAAGGAGAAGACTGGTAAATGCAAGGTAAAATCATATGTAATACTCTCTCGATTCAAATGCCTTTCAGTGCAACAATTTCACCCCTCCCCCCAAATAAAAATAAAAAAATCATGTCAATTCAGAGCAAGACTAACAGTTTAATAAACAGTGTATATTCTTGGGTAAAAAACCCAAACAGATTAGGTAAAAGAATTCAGACCCTGTAAAGTATTAAGAGAGAGAGAAAACAAAATCAAATGATTGGTGACAAGAAAACAATCATAACAAATAATAAGATTCTCACCTGGATTTTTCTCGAGCTGTGTGGAGAGCTTTGTGTTGGAATGGTCCACTCTTTTGGTACTGTAACAAAAACAACATAGTCAGCATGACAGCTACACATGTGTTCATATACAAACACTATAGTCTCTACTTTAACTTTATAGAAGAGAACTTGCAACACTCCTAATATATCCAAGTTAATACATTGATAAAAGCAATATGATATAGGAAAGAGTTAATCTTAACAATATTACTTTGTAACAGACATTCTGTTTAAAATACGTCAGGTTGATTACTCTGCATGCAGAAATTACATAACTTAAAATCAGCTCATAACATCATGGTAGTTTTATCTTTGGACTGTAAATATAAAGAGTTATATTGAAAGGGTGATAGTCTAGGACTTACTTGTAGTCCCTTTCCCAGAACTTCATTGGTCTGATATAAGATGTGATGAATATTGCACTACCGAGGATAGGATTGAGAGGGGTAGAGAACAACGCTGAAATGGTCGTCTGGACAAACAACATGGCTGAATCTGTATCACATCGTCAAGGTTAAAATATATAATAAACTGTACATAAAAAATGCTACTACAGCTTTGATCCTTGTATTGAATGAATGAATCTATTTAGCATAGTATATCAAAGAACAACCAATGTAATCTAGGCATCTGATTAACAGCTGCAATGAAGTTCACATTCCCTATGTCTCAGAATTTGAAAACTTGTCTCACTGATATATGGCCTTCATAAAATTGCACATTTTCAACGACACTTATCATTCATATATACTTCTTTGACTTTAACTATTTAAACAAATAATTGCCAGTAAATTCTGAAGAGCTTTTGAATAATAGGGTATCTAACGCAACCTGTGTACTGCAATTAAGTTTCCTTGGTGCTTCACTAGGACAAATCTGTAAAGTTTATGCAGAAATTGACAAAATGTGTAAATCTAATGATATGAATATTAGTTGTTATTAACCGTATCAGACATCTGAGCAGGGCAATTCTTAAATGTTATTGCCCTCAAGGTTTGATGGATAAGCCAACATATTATTGACCGCTCAGAAAAGTCAAAGGGATTTTGTGTGTAATTTGCCGGTCAATACGGTTATACAGTAAACCAATGAACAAATATTATTGCCCGATCTGAAAAGTCAATGGTAAAATGCGTGTTAAACTAGAGAGCAATAATATAGAGCCAGTTGTAATTTACATCGCACATCAGCTACTGTAATTTACGCATCAGCTACTGTAATTTACAGTAAAATAGTATGAGTTTCTTGCCTAATTCAGGGCAATACGACTTGTCATATATCACCCTCACCTTCGGTTCGGGCGATATATGTCGTATTGCCCAGAAGGCAGTCAATATTACTTAAACATCAATCAGGTCCATGAAGTTTGTCTGAAAGGATACGAGGAGCACTGAGAGGCTGAGCGAAAGCATGGAATGCTGAACCCCATGTGATCTGCCAAGGAGCTATATAGGTGAAGACAAACTGCAGCTTCAGTAACCATTCATAGATCTAGGGATGAGAAATTACATTGATACACTGTTAGTTATTTTGTTTCGTAGCTATTCACAAATCTGCACTTATGGTTGGTCATTTACTTGACTTCCCATCAAAAGATTGAGGATTCAAACTTGGTGTGTAAGCCCTTAAGACAACATTTGATCTACAATTGTGAGTGTGTCTCTTTCTCAAACCAGGTGTTTAACAAGTCCCTGGTAGGATTAGTTCCCTGAAATTCACTGTGCTGAATGAAGTTACCAAAGTTTTTTCAATAGCACTCAAAGCACATAAACTGGTGTTATATATGTACTATGAAAATATGTAGAATATGAATATTATCATTGATATAATGCATTATTGATATAGCTTCAGCAGAGATTCAATGATCTGGGGAAGACAATTTGGTCATAATAAAAATTGAACAATGTACTTCAATTATCAAGACATACACACATAAAAAGAATTCCCATTTACAATAACATCAGCATTTCAAAGCAAAAGTTGAAATATGAAAGATCTAACAGATCAACAAAATGCAAAAATAAAATGGCATACCTTTGTGAGTAAAATGGTCATGATGAAGTAGTGGATGACAAAGTAATCATTGAGGTATGTCTCTGAACCAGCTGTGTAATCATACTTGAAGAAGAGTGCAGTAAAGGCAAGGATAGGGTACTGGCGAGCGGTGTCTCCGTATGCACCTCTCAAGAGCTTCACAGCACATATGCTAATTAGGATGGCTCCACCACTGTTCAAAATTAAAAATACGGTTTGTATGTGATTGTTAGATATGTGAAATTTTATCCATTTCTGATAAAGAGGGACGAAAAGGACATGTCAAAAATTAAGAATAATATACATCAAACATATATATTACAAGATTAAAAGCTTCACTCCATTTATACAAATACATTAGTGCATTGATTTCCTGTTTCATACACTAGATATTTATTTATTCATGTATATATAGGGTGGTGGGTAAAAAGCTAATGCATTGTTTCCATCCACGTATTTGTTTCTTAAAATGACTCACATTATAAAAAGGACCATTTCACATTACTGAAGTGTTTTTGTTTATTTTATTTTTTAATGGGATACTCAGATGATATAACAATGATTTTCAAAAATCCTCATAAAATTTGTCATTGTGAGGCCACAAGTACTGATGGATAATCAGAGGAGCATTGGACAGCTCATTTCAAGTCAAAAGTTACTAGTAATACTTACAATGGGGTGAATTTTTGGGCAATGGCTGGTCCTGATGTAGTGAGTCCACTCACAAAGACCAAAGGATAGAGTACATGGCGCTCAATAAAACATAACCAGACATACAGTTTCTCAAACAGCATTATCTTCGCTGCATCTAAAGACACAAGGAAAAAAAATGATGAAGAGTTGAGTTGAATAGAAAATAATACTGAGATAAAAGAAGAAAAAAATTCATGGAAGAGTAATCTTAACATCTAAAAAATATTTCCTGATATATTCTAGATCAAATATTGGGTTTCAATAAGACCTGGGCCCCGTCTTACAAATAGTTACAATTGATCCAAATCAATTACGAGTTCTCCGAACAATCGCAAGTTTACAGTCTCTTATCTCTTATTTACATAGCTAGTTGTGCTTGATATGAACTCTTTGTAAGTCAGGGCCCTGGTATCTGCCTGATGGATAATATGCGAATAAACAAAGTCATGCTAAATACACGCAAGTTCAAAGCAATCAATAGTTATCACCACACATCATCACAAACAGATTTTTCAAGCAAAATCTCATTCCCAATAGCATTTGCAATAAAAGTGGCAAATGACTGTACATTGTCCTTTATTTCACAGGTTTTTGCTGAAAGTGCAGAGGTTTGGGATAAAGACAGTAATTTAAAATTACTGTAAGTATAACATACACGTCTATCATCACCAAATCTGAACTCATCACATCTCTCCTTTCTACATTGTTCTGTTACATGTATTTTCTCACCTCTGACTTCAAACTGATGATATTCTCTACTCTTGAGTAGGGGTTGTGAGAAGCAAGCAAAAGGAAGCTCTTTCCTAAGTTGAGGCAAGATATAATGAAGCAGGAATCCTACAACTACAGCTATGATGAATAACACATAGCTCAGCGTAGGCTATCGAGAGAAAAAAGAGAGAAGAGAATTGATACAAATGAGTCATTAAAATTCACATATTGGTATCCCGAGACTAGGCTAATTGCTTCAAAGTATGGTCAACAAATCAAAATGTTTAAAAAACAGGAGTTTTATAAGCTATTAAAAAGAAAATACTTTTGCACACAAGCATCTTGTGAGGCTTTTGCAAGTGGTACAGATTTGCAAATATTGATTGCCACAAACCCAGCTGTAATTAAAATTTGCGTTTTACAGAACTGAATAAAGAGCATAATACATTTATTGAGAGTGCAATGAAAACCCTTTTAGATCAAGGCTTCTTGTGCTTCAATTAATTATAGTTCTACTGTGTCTTTTTACGATATCAAGCTGGAAATGTCTGTTAAATTAAAATGACAAATCAAATCTTCTAGGAATGACAGACGTAGTTACCATGAGTTCAGTGAAGACAGTACTGACGTGGAGGGCAGTAACAAACGCTACCATCACAAGGCACACTATCAGGTCAGACTGAAGACGCTCACTCTGAAATACAAACAAGAAATAAACGATGATAAATATTTCTATTATCTGGGCTAGAGCAAAATCATTACAAATCTGGGGGGAAACATTGCATTTTACAGAGAATTTTCAAAGATGATAACCATGAAAATACAAGAAACATGAAACATTATTCCTTGTAAGTTAACGTTTTTAGTTTTAAAATGTTACTGTTCAAAGGTTTGATAAATCAAAGAGTTATTTAAAGCTCCTAAAATCTTCCTCTTATGATATCAACTAAAACAGGTTTGTCATTGAATTTCATTAAAATCATACAAAACAGTAATGCTACCTTCTCAATGTTGTGTGCAATAATCATAAACTATATACACATTCAGGATAAAGAAACTGCTGATTTCTCTCATGTTTAAAATAGTTAAGCATAATTTGTTGATATACATACCTTTTTATTTGCATATACTAGTATGCTCTTGCATTTATTCACATATATCTCCTTGATTTTAACACTATTTAGGCACACCTGAAATGAATGGATAATGAAATGGATGAACTTACCACAGACTTTTTGAGTTTGTCTGGGAGAGGATCTCTGATCTGTTCTTCTTCAGTCTCCTCAGTATTCCCTCTGTGTTCCTCTGGCATTACATGTTCCTTGATGATGGACCTGACAAGTCAATTCAGAATTTAGCATAAAAGACTCTTCATTAGCGAAATGATACCTTGTTACCATTTTGCCTCACTGGAACAAAAAGATTTGGATCCAATTAAAATTTGGATGTGCAGGTTTGCTAAAAGGGCCCCTGTTGCATAAAAAAGTTACTACTGATGATAACTTGGCCATTAATATAAACTACCATGGCAACATCACTCAACAGGCATTCAAGTCAAGGTTACCAGGCAGTTACTATCAATGACAAAGTTAACATCAATGACAAAGTTACCATCAATGACAAAGTTACCATCAATGCTAAGTTTTATGCAGAAAGCCCAGATGAGAACAGTAAAATATAGGGAACAAATATGTCACTAACAAAATGTAATGTAGCTTATAACAGTTATTGTAACTTGCTATAGATAACAGGTTCTTATGAAACATGGCCCTGGTTATTACTTACCATACAACACCAGGATTTGAGGCACTTCTACTGAGATGATAACTGACAGCTACAGCTAACCCACAAAACACAGAGAATAACACATGCTGAGATGAAGCTTCTTCATCCTGAAAAAACAAACACATTATGCCAATTGTTAATTTCCTTTCATAATTCGCTTTTCATTATCTATAATAATAATAATAATAATAATCACATTTATATTGCACTTCATACTACATTTCTAAGTGCTTAACATTGTAAGTATTATTACCCCGATCATTGGATTCATTAGCTAACCCGCACATGAGAGTGCACACACTCTACTCCCTGGGCAGTATTCCAGCCAGGCACCACATTACAAGCACACACATGTTAATCCAACCACATCAATGTTCACATCTTACCGGGTACCCTTTAAGCACCTTGGTAGAGAGTGGCAAACGTAAATCAATGACTTGGAACCGCAAACCATGTGAACCACAGTCTGGTGAAGTATCCACAAGACCACAACACCTCTATATCATCTACCGTACATACAATAATCACCATATATGGACTATAACATATTAAAAATGTTTGAAGGACTTAGGGATCAGCAAGAACAAGTAATACACATTAACTTCTAGAATTTCCATATCAGGTAGTTTGAAGTAAGTGTGTTAAATTCATGTCTAAGGCACCGGATATTTCATCAGGCCCCTGGCTACGTAAGGATGAGCACAAAACATATGGAGTGGATGGAGAGTATGTGCATGTTTTGTTTTGATTTAAACATTTATTCATTGTTATATATTTGTTCTCATTTGCTATGTTATCTTTATATGTATATGTACACATGTTTTTGAATGCTTTTTATATTGATGTAAACTTGGATTGTTAGTCCTTGGACTTTTTGACAAGTCATGAATAAAACCTTATTTGAATCTTGAAAAAATGTGCACTGTTATCTGCTTAACTTTAGGGGCAGCTCAAAGGTTTAGTACAAAAACATTACTACCGGTAAAATAGTAAATTCAAAATGTGATAGTGAAATTAATTTGTAAGACATGAATAGATGTCAGCTGATAACTTGATTACGAATAAAAGTACAGATATGCAGGAAGGTACATTACAGAGTTAGGAAATAAATTATGAAAGAATTGTGTTTACTTACCTGAAGGCCACCATAGGCAAACCCGCATAAAACCAGTACAGCTATTATACTACGGAAGGTGGAGTAGGCAGCAGCTCCCAAACCAGTGGTACCTGGCAAAAAGAATATCAAAGACAAAAACCATTGAGAGTCTAAAACATGATAAAGGAACAAATGATACATATATCCACAAACACCATTTTAACCGTTTCAAATTTCCCCTTGGAATGCACATAAAATTTGCTTCCTTTTGTCAAGGCAAAGTACAACTAAATATCTATGCATCATCAGAGACTAACTAAAATTCCTCTTCCTGCCAAAAACTTGCAGCAGACACACATGGGTAGAATATTTTACTTCTCCACTGTTCATCTAATTGGTAATTGTTACATTACCACTGCCCTTAAATGTAAGAGTCCTGTGCCCCCTCCGCAAGAAACTTGTTTAATCACATATGTAAACTCACCACTGCCACCAAATATGTGAATATCTGCTGTTTCTAGAAGATACATGACAAACGTATTGCACTGAGGGAGAAGACCCACTAGGAAGACCAGAGGAAAGAACAGTATAAACACTGCGGGAAAAAGAAAACAATACACAAGACAATGTGTTAGACCTCAATACAGAAAAAACTTGCCTTTCACTACATACATGTATTGCACTCATATCATGCTCAGTTAAAACAAAGCAAGGATGAAAAATCATGAAGCATTACAAAATGATGTCAATGCAAAACCACTTGCTTTAAAAATAAAAACAATTAAAAGTCAAATGATACATTCATAGCCTCCTTCAATTAAAAAATTTGCTCGGGCAGTGATATTTGTCCCTAAGTATCACACCTCAATTAAGTTAAATGCATTTAATTCCGTATCAAACCATGCCCTTGTCAAAATTCAGAATTATCCTTTTGCAACATCAGGAAAGTGCGACTGCATGTCACATATGCTGTGGTTAAGATGTTGAATGGAGGCCCCGTGTAGAGGAGAGTCACCACCTTTGCACATTGAGAACCCACTACACTATTCGTATAAGAGTAGGGGGGGGCCTGAGTGTGGTGGTCCACCTGCATAACCCTAATCAGTTATACCGGGAGGAGAGACCCGAGAGTCACAGTGATTCATTCGCTTTACCCCTCCCAGGTGAATAATACAAATAATAATTTACCTAATAAAAGATCCCTTGCAAAGATGAGTAACTCAAGAGACGTGAAGGTAAAGTTGTAGAGCTCAAAGAGCGTTCTGTTTCGATGTGGTAGCGTACTGGAGAGATGATCTAGTAGAAGGATCAGGCTACAACATAGGCAGAAGTAGAGCGGTCTACTGTATGCTATCACTGGATTATGACCCTGTATAAAGAGAGTAAAAACAGATTAATAATAATAATAATGTAACTTATATCGCGCCAAATCCACTCTGTGGAGTGCTCAAGGCGCGTGTAAACAGGAAAAAAGATCAAGACTTGAAAAGAAATGTTTTGAGATGAGCTTTGAAAGAATCAGAGGATAAACATTTTTTGATGTCTTCAGGAAGGCCATTCCATAATTTAGGACTAGAGTATGCAAAAGATCTTTCCCCCCACGTTTTGGTAATTTTGGGGGTTACAAGAAAATTGGAAGTGGATGAGCGTAGAGGTCTTGCAGGAGTGTAGTTTTGGATTAGAGAGATAAGGTATTGAGGAGCAGAGCCGTGAACGCAATGAAAGGTGAGCAACAAAATTTTGAAAACAATGCGATCTTTTACTGGGAGCCAGTGTAGCGACTGCAAAACTGGGGAAATGTGGGTACGCTTGGTGGTCAGAGAAACAATACGAGCTGCAGCGTTTTGAAGCTTCTGAAGCTTGGACACTAGATTCTGGGGTAGATTGATTAGGAGGGCATTGGCAAAATCAAGACGGGAGGAAATCAGAGCATGAACTAATTTTTCGGTGGCAGACTTGGACAAATATTTACGAATAAAACCGATATTACGCAAGTGGTACCTTACAGATCTACAAATATTAAGAACTTGGTTAGACATTGTCATATTTGAGTCAAACATAACACCGAGATTGCGACACGTTTGTGACAAGTGAATTATGTGGCCAGAAAATGAAATGCAATTGATATTAACTTTACTAAGCTGTACTTTGGAACCAAATATAAGGAATTCACATTTGTCTAAATTTAATTTCAAGGAATGTGCGAGCAACCAATCAAGAACGTCAGCCATGCAAGATTCAAGGCGATGAACGGCTCGTTCTGCAGCGGCTTGATCTGAATTGAAGGAAATCATAAGTTGAATATCGTCTGCATAAATATGATAATCTATGCCATGTTGTAACAAAACTTGTCGCAATCCAATTAAATAAATTGAGAAAAGAGTGGGCCCGCCCACAGAACCTTGTGGTACTCCACAAGAGAGAGGCAAAGCAACTGATTTGCAACCATTAATACAAACGATCTGAGAGTGGTATGACAGATAAGACTCGAACCATTTGTATGCCTCACCCTTGACACCAAGTGAACTAAGTGTGTTCAAAAGGATAGTGTGATTAACGGTGTCGAAGGCGGAGGACAAGTCTAGCAGCAGGAGAGCAGTTGAGTTACCCCTATCCATCCCTTGCAGGATATAGTTGGACACATTCACAAGCAGTGTTTCCACACTATGATGGGTTCTGTAACCTGACTGGAAAGGGTCGAACAAATTATTGTCCAGAAAATAATCCGAAAGACGAGAAAACACAACCCTTTCAAGAATTTTGAACAAAAACGGTAGGTTTGAAACTGGTCGATAATTTTGGAGGGAATTTCGGTCCAGAGAAGGTTTCTTCAACAACGGAGTAACATGAGCTATTTTCAATGAGGAAGGAACATGTGCCTGCTCTAAACTCAAGTTAATCAAGTAAGAAAGGATGGGAGCGAATGTGGAGGAACAGTCCATTAATAATTTAGTGGGAACAGGGTCTAACTGACATGATTTGGGGGGTAGTTTACGTAAGAGTGACATAATCTCATTGGGGGTAGTAGGTTGTATTACTTCAAAGGAAGAGGAAGTAAGGGGATGGTGTGGTGTTTTGTCAGGTGATAAACTGTCGCAGATGGTCTTGACTTTCGTCTGGAAGAAGTGGATGAATGTAGAGGCCATTTGCTGGCTATCCGTGTGGGCTGGAAGTGGTGGTAACTGTCGACGATTCAGAAGTCGGTTTGCTACTGAGAAGAGCTTTCTTGAATCATTCCGACAGTCTTCAATAAGATCTACAAAGTATGAGCGCTTCGCCTTTTTCACAAGTGAATTTACGAGGTCACGCTGGGCACAGTACAGTTCTTTGTCAGTCTGAAGTCGGCCATTGGCCCTCCATTTCCTCTCCAGTTGTCTACAATGTAGTAAATGTAGTATACCGGAGAGATGATCTAGGAGGATCAAGCTACAACATAGGCAGAAGTAGAGCGGTCTACTGTATGCTATTACTGGATTATGACCCTGTATAAAGAGAGTAAAAACAGATTAAATGTAGCGTACTGGAGAGATGATCTAGTAGGAGGATCAGGCTACAACATAGGCAGAAGTAGAGCGGTCTACTGTATGCTATTACTGGATTATGACCCTGTATAAAGAGAGTAAAAACAGATTAAATGTAGCGTACTGGAGAGATGATCTAGTAGGAGGATCAGGCTACAACATAGGCAGAAGTAGAGCGGTCTACTGTATGCTATTACTGGATTATGACCCTGTATAAAGAGAGTAAAAACAGATTAAATGAAGCATACAGGCAGGATCAAGCTACAACATAGGTAGAAGTAGAGCGGTCTACTGTATGCTATTACTGGACTATGACCCTGTATCAAGAGAGTAAAATGAAGCAACATTTAATCACATACTGTATGTGTGCGCCAAGAGTGCCATTAATGATTATGTTGGCAGAGTTGTGCACAATATAAATGTAGAATTATTATAATTATTATTATTATGTATAACCATATGCAACAGTTCAGACATGTTTATCTATAGAAAAAATAATGAAATCTCCAAAACCCAACATGAAAATTAAATTTGGGAGCATATTGCATTTCCTTCACCTAAATGATGAACTAATTTATTATCATTTGCCAAGATCTTTCAACCAATTTTTTTTCATGTTATCATATTTATTTTTGTCTTCTCAATAAAAAATACATGGCATGTGCTTGTGACAATGAAGAGCATATTAATACTTACATGCATTGGGGAGGCAGCATCTGGTTGAACACTCTGAAATATAAAAGACAAGAACCATAACTACAAATCAATAGTGAGAACTTTACGCCTAATGAGACATTTTCATTCATGAATTAGATAAAAGAACTTCTTATGATCTAATATATTTTTCAGAAAACAGTTACACCTCTGAAATATATAGCTACTTTTCATTTCTGTCATGTAATACCAATAACTAATCTTCACTATTTTCCTATTTGTAATGATTGACTCTGTTAGTTTATTCTGTCTATCTACATTCACAGGTTCCAAAAAGAACTGAATATTTTAAGGCTTTGGTTAAACAAATGGAACATAGCAACTTTTGGCACATGTACAATGTGTGTGATCATATAATAAACACAAAATAATTTGGCAGTCTAGGATTTTAATTGGGTGAATGAATATAAAAATGAAACAAATTATTTACCTTGATAAGAGAGTACTGACAACTTGCTACAATGAGGCAGAACCAGAATAGCCAGAAATCATAAAGGAAACCTTGCGTCATGACAGCAAAGCCAAGGAGGGATACTAGTACTGCTAGGAACACTGCAAACACACTCTCCACCACTGTGCGATTCCTGCATGGAAAGGGTTAAAAGAATGCATTCTCAATGAACTATTTATTACTTAGCATGGAATATACTGGAATGCAACCCACTGGAAATAAGTGTCTAATGAAGTGATACTATTTGCAAAAGGTAAGGAAATTAAGCATTTTTAAAGTTTTGAATCAAATCATCATTTATACAATAAGAAATCTGAATATCTGCCCACAGAGAAAATTGGGTACAACACTGCATCGGTAATCACAAAAATTCCTTAGGAACATTCTAACAAAATTCATCCTACAACTTTGAAGGAGTTAAGAAATTGCAACAGAATCCACTGATTTATTAGGCTGGCATAGAACTGAAGAGACTGTCAAGGCTTGGATAATAACTGTCATTGTATTCTACAGGACACTCACCTGTCAAAGAGAGCCAGGAATGCCAGCCTGTCAAAGCTGACTCGTATTGACCTCCAGGGCAGCACCCAGAAGCGATAGTTATGTAGGACCTTGACCTTGTTGTCCCTATTGCGTATCCACCTTCCCGTGGCCCTGGCTGCCACGGCCGACCTACTCTCCATGCTGTGCATCTCCTCGTACGTACTACTAGAGTCCATGTTAGGGTAGGCATCAAAGAGCCCCGTCAGTGTGGCCTCCCACTGGTGTGGGTCTGTGAGGCGGTCTAGGATGTTCGTGGGCAGCTCCAGATCTATCCCACTGCTGGCTATGCCTTGTCCTCCTCCCACACTGGTACCACCTGCTGATGTGCTGCTGATGGCACGTAAGGCCCGAGGAGGAGGCCTGGGCTTGGGTACGGATATGACGGTGGAGTCTGAATGACAGCTTGAAGTCTCTTCCCTGAAATATATAAAGAATTAAGAAGAAAATAATTCAGGTTATAAAACACAGCATTTCTGAAGGTATACTTTAAAACCAGAAACTTTAAATTTAAATTTCACAGACGGTTCAAATTCAGTATTATGCCACAGAATAGTTGAATCACAACACTAAATTGCAATTTGCGAAATGTTATTGCTATGAAAATGGCTGTCATTAAGGAATCACAAAGTTGTCACAAACAAGTTTCTGGTTTAACAGTACTGTACAGCCCTACATCAAATGACATTACTAGCAAATGATGTCTTCGGTTTTCATCCACAAAGTACTCAATACCATTGAAAACAGTAAATCATTTATTTCATATTTTCTTGTTTTAACCAACCACTTACCATTCATTGCTGGTAGATTCTTTGGGTGGTGAAGGGGAAGCTTCGGGTGACTGGTTCTGATCAGCTTCGACTCTCTGAGCCACTCCTGGACTATTGTCACTGAATGTGTAAGTCATCCAGTTACCTGAGAAAGGACAAAGACACATGATAAAAATAAACTCTGACATTTTCCTGGCTGATCAGTTGAATCCTACCTTACCCACAAGAAAATCCCTCGTGTCAGTTCAACAAATTCTACAAAGAGTTATTTAATTTTCTCTTATACCATTATCCCAAACACAATTTGGGGAATCTTTTCAGTACCAAACCCTTGAAGTTAAGATGCTAACAAAATAAATAATTCTTAAATCCTTCTCATTTTTTATCAATTTTTCATTAAACATTCTGCTAAATGAATCTTAGAGCTAAACAGAACTAGAGAGATCCCTCAAAATCGATTGCAAGAGGCACAACTCTAAACAATTCTTACAAGTTCATTAAAACAACTTTCTAGTGCCATATTGGCAGTATAATATAACAAAATATCCAGTCATGTAATGTTATACCAATGAGAATAGAGACTACCATACCATTAACCCTTAGTCTAGTCCCTTCCAGACACTCACCATGCTCATCTTGGAAGCAGTGTACCGAGCCAGGAGATGTATCGTTATGATTGGTAGCTAGGTACCTGCCCTCTGCCCTAGACAGCATAGTCAAGGCTTGGTTGTGAGGAGATGAGTTGGGGATCATCACTCGGTTTCCTGGCGATTCTACCATGAAGAACACAAAGATGACAATTTAGAACTAGACATAATACTCTGATAATATAGACACCCAATATAACATGGAATAAGGTATTACTATACTTCTAGCATATGAGATTGATAACAAAATTGAAATAAGAGTAAAAATGTGATCATATCACAGTGGATGATGGTTAGTTTTAGAATAATATAAAACAAAAGAGCGCAAGGCCTGCAATATCATCATTCATCATGTGGGGGTTGTAATATAAAGGGAAGTAGTTGGTAACTACAATTCTTTTCATCATGGTCATCATAAGGATACAGACATGAAAGATAGCCCTGTTGAATCTGCATATCATTCCCTTGAATAGTTAAAGCTCAAACTCAATTTTAAGTAAGCACACATGACAGATGAACACTTTTTGAAGAACGTTGTGTTTGAAGAAGTAGTGTTTTTTTCCAATGACTCCACTATCAAAACATATTTGTTAAATGTCAAAATTGTAGAGAAATATGTAAGAAATATGGAAAGAAATGAAAGACAAACCTGTGGAATCAGAGTTATGGCGTCTTGACTTTTCGTCTGATGCATGCCTCTGTCTGGTCTCGTCCTCTGCAGCCGTAGAGCCATGGAAGGTACTTCTATTTCTCACTCTCTGTCGGGATTCACTTGTTGAGCTAACGTATCTGGCTTGCCATCTTCTCCTCCTTCTGAAGTTTGGATTCACTGCACAAAAAAAAAATCAAATGAGTGTGATAATAACCTGACTGCGTTCATGTCTGATACACAGACGTCTAATACACTCACCAATGTAATGCCTTTTGTGTTTCACACTTTAGACATTGACACAATCCTGTTAGATCCCCTCTCCTTCCTCTGTCCCACCTGAGAAACAGATCTTTATAATTATGTTCTCACACAGCCATTAAACTCTTCTTAATGATTCAATGTTCCCTCTGTGTCTATACCACCCTCTCTACCAAGACCAAGCCCACATATTTCTTTTATATCAATCTAAAGTATGAACACCAATTGTTTTGTTGGTCCACTTGCCACACAAAAGTCTTTTACTTGAAAATAAAAATGAGGGATGTGAGCGAGTAGGAACAAAAAAGCTCTGTTTTGTCCCAAGACATACCCTCATGACTTATTACACAAATGGTTGTGTCTTTCAGAATGTTATTGTCTGGATATTACCTGCTCCTTCTAGCTGTGATCTGATGGATTCTTCTCTGAGCATCCTCCTCATCATCTTGCTTAGGAGACGGTTGCTAACAACAGTCCCATCAGGAGCTACATAGGGATCATCATATCGAGCAGAGTCTTCACCTAAAACAAGGTAGGCAGGCGTAACTTATGGTTAACTCAATCAACTATTAGCTACAGATGGAAAGCAATTAATTGAACACTATAGACTCCCTTCTAAATGGGAAGTAAATCAGATTATGATGAGTTATCATTAACGTAAATGATAATAAAGAAATCTAAGAACTCATTCAACGTTATGAATATTAAGGCTGTGCACAACAGTGTAATGAGGTACCCGAGTACACTCCCAGGTTTACAAGCGAATACTCGCATATTCGGACGCCATGTTTTTTAATAATTTTTTTTCAATTTGTTTTGATTTTTTTTCCACCACCATACCATTGGTGCAGTATCCCAGTAACGCTGAAAACGCATGTAATTTTACTTCGAGTTGCAGTTGAAGGCGCCGATTTAATAATAATAATAACAGTAAACAATGCTGTTTTAAAAACCAAAGATGGCAGAATAATCCATTGTCCTCCGAGTCCAAACAGAAATCCAGACATTTGGTCCCAGTTTCAGAGTGGTGAGTTTGACAGTGCTTGAGTTGGGAAACATTTTTACCGACGGTACCATGCCAGCGGCCGCCGCTCTCCCTGGCACGGGTAAGCGTTGGCCTGGCCAATTTTTTTTTTTTTTGCGGCCGAATATTCGGGTACGAGAAATCGTACCCGAGTAGTTGTCAACCGTGCGGGTACTCGAGCATTCGACTACCCATCGCAGCCTTGACGAATATCAATCCATTTCATCAACTCTCAACATAATTTTCCCATCCCATTTTATCACTTGTAATGTTAGCTATATCAAAAAGTATGTGTGAAAATATTATGGTAAGAACCATAAATAGCAAATCTTAATAGTTCTTTGAATATTTCCTTACTTGTACTTCGCTCCACAATTGCCCTACGCTTTGGAATGGCTCCCTCTCTAGCCCTGTCTTGAGATCGATCACTGCTCCTCGTATCAAAGGAGCTTGTGCTTGCTACGTCTTCACTTGGACCTGGCTGACCTGTACAACAAAGCAAAAATATTCAGTCATAATGTTTACAACGATGCATTTGGTAGAAACCAGTAGATTGTGCAGATATTTTCAGAAAGGTTACTTCTGACACATGTATGCAAAATAATAGCACACATCATAAAACCTATCAAGCTCTTAGGCTGTTATTTCACATTAAAAAAGTTTTGTCCCCCCAAAAAAAATCTGCATTGGATTACCTTATCTAGAACATGAAAATTGTTCATGCATAAGAACAACAGAGATAGTCATTATTTTACAAGCACTTCTATTAACTACTTCTCAAAAATAAAGGTCACAGTCTGCTACACCGGAAATATCATTAGATTTTGCCTTACGTCTAAATGAAGATGGGCTACTGCCACTGCTGGGTGTCTCTCCCTCTAGACCAAAAAGCCACTGCAGACCTGTTGAACTTGATGTGCTCCTTGTGCTAGGTGTGGCAGAGGAACCTAGAAATGCAGATCGTTCTGAGATCACAGTGCTATCATCCGATCCTGAGCTTACGCTGGACGATGAAGAGTGACTCCGCAGTCTATGTTCTGGTGTCAAGGTGTTACTTGAGCCACTTTGTCCACTTGTTTCACAGTCATCTACAACAAAACAAGGCAACGGTTCACATGAGCCTCCTTCTGATAACGATACAGAAAGCGGTTGCTTTGGTTCTTCAGTGTGGGTCCCTTTCACATGCACTTCATTATTATTATTCAAGCGATCAGCTGTTGATATAGAACCCGTGTGACGTATTCGTTGTTTGTCTCCCTCTTTGGTCTTTCGTTTTTGTTCCTTGCTACTGTCTCGCTTAGATTTACTACCAACTGTAGATGAGCTTGGGCCACTGGAGTGTCGGCTTTTTCTTGAAGACTGTGCATCGTTCTCCTCCAGCGGGGAGATAGGAACTGTGCTACGGTGCTTTTTCCGCTCAGATTTATCACTGTTAGAATGTTTCTTTGACTTAGTTCCAGTCCCGCCTGCAGCTGCTTCTGCTTTAGCTGATACAGCAGATGAGCTCCCAGGGGAAGGTCCAACTGAAATTACCTTTGGTCCTACCCTAGTCCCATTTGAGCTACGTCTGGGATTCGTAAAACCCCCACTAGTCCTGAAATCAATTATCTTACTCTGATCCAGTCCTGAGTCTGACTCAGACTGTGATCTCCTGATTCTTTTCCCTTTAGTTTTCTTGACATCAATAACCTTTTCTAGGTCACTTTTTTTAGTAGCTGGAGGCTTCTCTTTGATACTTTCCTCCTCGTCTTCCACATCGCTTTTCTTGGCTGATTCGTCACCTGAATGCGATGACTCCTCTCCCTTAACTACTTTCATAGGAGCAAATATCTGATCCATAATTGCGAGTTCATCTTCCCAAGCGAGCTCATCGGCCCTCATCACCCATGGATCGCTCTCCAACGATCTACAAGAAGTCCTCTGATTACGATCTTTCAACTTGGACAAGTCCCTCCCATCCTCATCATCTGTTCGATTGCTTGTGGACACTCCCTGGCTACTAACACTCTTTGAAATACCAGAGCTTTTAGTTCTGTGTTTGCCTGACTTGGCTGAAGATTTTCCCTTGGATGACTTTTGTCTGGCTCTGTCCCGGATGTCATTGGATGAGTCCATATCTTTCCATGGTGCATCTGTTTCGTCTGTTATGAGATCAAGTAAATTGAGATCAAACATTATTTGTTTACAACCAAATTACATTCAATAATACCAATTATACCATATTATCAAATTTTCTCTTTCATTTACTTTCCTTAACGACTTAAGTGTAATTTATTCCATACAAATTTAAATCCAAACTCTATTTGATGTTTATAAAAAATAAAATAAAATATTTTTTGCCAGATGTAAACATTGTGCTTGAATTTATTTATTCCAAGTCAAACCAACATGTACATAAAGATCCATGCATTTGATATTCTCCCTTTATAGATCTGCTTCCCTCCTCTCAATTCCCTATTAAAACATGATCTATTCTCTGTGCCTGCCCTCATTATGCATCGTAAACTGAACATGTCTTTCCATACAATTTTCTAGGATAAAACTGAAGGGAAAGTCGCGAAGTCTTGCATAAAATACCCCTTTTACATAATTGAAGACAATTGTACAAATCTACAAAAAGGTGATCAATGACAACTTTAAGTCTTTAATCCTAAGCAGTTCCATCAAAACAGCATCAACGTCCTAACACTTGATGCCTGAAGTGATTTTTGACAAGCCTGAATTGATCAAGCAGATATCACGTACCGCAGGATTCTAGGAACGATGTGGTCACACAGCGAGGTCTTATTCCTTCCTCTATTGCAATACCAGAGGTATCACTGCCTCCGCCAGCGCCTGTTTGGATATCAAGAATCAAGACCGTTACAATATGAGAGGTAAGAAATGATTATGATGCACGGTACATCAAATTCATATACTGGCTGTGATAATTTAGTTTTTTATTCATTAAAACAATATTACTACTATAATTATAATTACTTGAAAGATATTGCTGATATACTACCCATATTTTTCCATCACATTTCGGAGTACAACCATAGATTCAAATTTTGTGGATAAAAGCAACCATGAACAAACAGGCTATTACAATAATGAATCTGCTTACAGGAAGCACTTTGAAAACAAGTAACAAATTTCATAATCTAACCTTCTTAAAATGTTAACAAGCTAGAAAAAAATAAAGAGGCCCACCTTTCAAAAAACATTGACATCAAATATAACAAGTCAACGCAAAACGTAGCATCCCCTCGCAGGGTACAAATGCCCTACATACATCAGAACAAGTTACCTCCATTGGACTATATTATTATATTACTAGGCAAGGAAGTTAACCACATTTTCACGTATATAATTTGGTTGTTTTTGCATATTAAATGAGCTATGACCTTTCACCTTTGACCTACATACTCTGAAATTGAACTTAGGCTGTACATGTATTTTGATACCATGTACCTTCATATTGAATTTCGTTAAAATTTGTAGAACATTACTCAAGTTATTGAATGGAAACCAGATTTGCATATTTAATTAGCTATGACCTTTGACCTATATACTCTGAAATTGAACTTAGGCTGTGTTTTGATACCCTTCAGGAAACCAAATTCGTTACAGACGCACGGACACACGCACGTACAGACGCATGGACGGAAGGAAGGACGGAAGGAAGGACGGACGGCAGCGTTACTATAACCCCTCCGACTTCGTCAGCGAGGGGATAACAAAAAATAAACAAAAATGTAAACAATTCCAATAACTCAGTGACTGCAAAAATTTGCATACAGTATTAGTATTACCTTGGAGTTTAGAGTCATCTGAAAGGGACTGATCATTGCTATCGAGCCCATCATCACTGGTAGGACTGCTCTCCCTGTGACCCCTTTCAATGGCGCTCAGGGCCTGTAGAAGGGTCTCCTCCCATGCTGATCGGTCCTTTCTCTGAGAGTGTACCTCTACCTCAATGTTACCATTACCAGAGGCACCATCCACATTCTGTCATATAACAATTGGGGGTGAAAGTGTTAGCTCATGAAGGCAAAATGGGATCATTCAACCGTTTATATTTATTATTGTGGAAGAGTGAATAAAAAGTTAAGTTACAATGAGAAATGACCCTGCAGCCTTGTTTATACATGATGTGGTAAACTGTCTTATAATTGTCTTATATTGTCTTATATTATAACAAATATTTTATTTCAATTAAAAATATTTGAGTGAGAAGAAATCCTGCTTAAAATCTGTGTGTTATAAGAGACATAAATGTGTAGTGTACCACATTTCAATTTGTTTAATGTTTCATTTCATTTTGCTGCAGTTTTTTTTTTTTGGACCAGTTTACCACACCTGCTTCATGAAACCTTTGAGTGTATTATTACATACACAAGCATGTAAATGTACATGTACTTCCCTGCTTGCCCCATCTATGATGAATAAAGCTCTTCTCAAGTAGGTTGGGACCAGACTTTGAATGAAAATGTGGATGTGCATATCCTTTGCATTAGATTCACCCTATCCAAGCAATTATTGTGATTTGAGAGACAAGCAAAGAGAATGTGCATGCATTTCCAACTCATTAGCTTTGAGTTTGAGGTGCAGGGTCCTTGGTCTGCTCTCAACCCACATACTTGTACATGCAGGCTGTAAGAATGGATCTACCGGTATGCCACCTACATGTTCTAACTATGATTGAAAAAGGTCTTACAAATTCTTATTAACCATGCAAACTATTAAAAAAAGCACAACAACAAAGTCCCAAATTGTTTTGATCATCATTATTTAGTTCAAAGATTTATACTTCATTCAGAATTTGTTTACATCTTGGTATCTATTGAATGGATTATGTTTTCTTGACCAAGTTATTTTTTCCATCTCATACAAGAGCTGACAACAATCTTCAAGGATTTCAAAATCCAATTTTGAATAATAATCTAGAGATCTTTGCTAACCATGTAAATAACCAATCAAGATAAATATGTCAAACCCACATGCAAATGTATGGCAAAACTCATACATGTCATAATTTTTATATATTTTAGGCTATGTGATGTACAGTATGTATGATAATGATATACATGTTATTCAATGTTGGGTAATACATCACTGCTTCCTTCAATCAAGCGTAATGTGAATGGTCATTAGCCTAATTTTGTTTGCCATTTCTACTGATGTTTACAGCTACACATGTACATGCAACATGAAATGTTTTGTGTATAACTAATGTACATGTATGAATTGTATAAATGCAGCTACTGTACATCGCTGTGCATTATATGCATTGTATGCATGCACATCTACATGTACATTTATTACGTATGAATACCCAATATGTAGTCGGGGCTTTGTAATCATTTATCGTTCAAGTTTGGTGGCATAAAAAACATGTAATAGTTTACTGTTGTGATCATACATACGTAGATTCCATATAAAAGTTTTATTTTTCAGATCTAGTTATTTCATACAGTACAAGGTCTGTTCAAGGGTAACATCATAAAAGTATTCATACATGTTCATAGGGCAAATTTCAAAACCAAAAACGGTTGAATACAAGTAGACCTTTTAGAATTCAGAACGACTACAACATTCTAGAAATATTCCACTAATACACCTACAAGCAGAGCCCTGTGTTTACTAACAACAAACATCTTACAGAAAAGTTTGTAAAGAGCCATTCATACAGAATAACAAAGGCCTAATATATAGCAAGCAGCATGTATAAATACATGTTTCAAGTATCATTTAGCATTAATGTTTTCTTTCTTTTTCCTGGAGAAAAATGCCTCAAAATAGTATAACAGGTGAGATACACTAGAAGCAACAATCTTTTTGTTGCAAAATTCAGATTCTTAAAGATATACATAATAGAAATGTCTATTACCACTTTGGTGCTTTTATTGGAAGATGCGGTCCTGCTTCTAGTCCTGCTGGATACTCCTGAGTGATAGTTAGGACGATTGGAGTTGAGTTCTACCATCTCAATAGCATCACTGTCCTCACTAGAACAGGTTTTAAAAAAGGAGAACAAAATGAAAAGGTAAATATGGCTTTATGATAGATGAAGATGGGACAGAAAAAAAGTGACGAAACCAGATGAAATATGTAGTACAATAATACATGATAGATGGGGTGGATGTCAGCAGATATCCTCAGGAAGAAATGTATTGAAATGTGATGAATAGCATGGTAACAAATCATAATGTGACAATACACATACATGTAGGAGATTGATATCTGAATAATTCAATTAATCTAAAAAGGTACAATAATGGTACTGCCGTCCTTGGAATGGTAATAAAATGACTCAGAAAATGCAAATGGATTCCCCCCCCCCCTTTTTTTTCAGCTACAGCTATTCATCTTTTTGTTTTCTCTTTCAGACTGAGCAATTCAGATTTTCTTTGAGTCTGGCAGTCCTGACTACTGAGTAAATAACATACCCAGAGCAAAAAGTGGTGATCTTCTGAGGAGCACATACAGAAATACTCTACACAAGACTCAGCACTGTGTATATCTGCAAGTCATGATTAGCCCATTTCAGCTAAAGTAATTAGCCTTTGAACATGCGCAGGTTAAAAGAGTGTGACATCATGAACGTGTATAAATATTCAGACATGTTCTACATGCACATAGGTGTCTCCACTTTATGAGTATGCTACATTCGTGTAGAGCAATCATTTTCTTTTTTAATTTATACATAACATTTAACATAATTATAAGTTACAACTTACATCACCGGAAACCCTTAAGTATTAAATAACTAAACTAGTAAACTTTCATTCCCCCCCCCCCCTGAATAATTAAATGAGCTTACATACATGTATGTATGTACATATACATGTACATGTATGTTTCTTTGACCTTGGTTATTATTTTTATCTATAACATTATTTTATTTTAGATTGATTATATGCATTTGAAGTACATTAACTATGCATATAATGATTGTACTACCGGTATACATTTTTAAGCAAGAAAATCAACTTGAATATCAATATTTTAGTGTACATGTATGTACATGTACAATAAACATGTACAATAACTGTACAAGTTTCAATTTGCTATAAGAAATCCAGTTTGGTCATAACGTTGCTTGCATTACACTGTAATACTACATGTAGTAACCTTTAAATATGTGCAAGAAGGAAATCATATCAAGTTTACATTTCCTCAATATGTACACCTGTAGGTAAATGTACAAAACTGTATAGTACCCTCAACTAAGATATTTGATGAATTAAAACCTAACCAATCCAAAGTTCTAAACATTTTGCATAATATCCTGCTTCTTTAATGCAATACCATGGAACACAAGTACAGTACATGTACATTGTAAGTCTGAAAAGAAAAATTGAAAAATTCTTTTACTCAATACCATGTTTATTCAAGAGTGAAAACCAGACAAATCTAAATACAGAAAACAGTCTGTAAAGTGATGACGTCTGATGCCTGCCAAGCTCATAATACTTTATAATGAAACCTTCCATGTTCAAGCTTGTTATGATTCTGAATCTCCAGAATCAATACATTTTTGTCGCCTACTGAAAAGAGGAAGAAAAATGTCTTCTCCTGCCATCCATTCAAGATGATCGCTCAAGCTTGTAAAAATCAGTAAGTGCATAATAGATGAATGTCCATGGATGTGTATGCTCCTACAAGCACACAGTGCCAAATATGTTTTGATATTCACGGTATCCCCGTTAATAGGGTGTGAACCCCTGGGGACACTGAATGAACTGAATTGCAATCACAAAGAGAGACAGAAATGATGAATAATTTAATTACACATGCTGTACATGTATATATTATATTGTCAAAACATGAAAAGCTGTACCCTACTACCTTTTATACTGGGTTTGGTGAAATCAATGCTGATTCAATCATTCATTTAAATCATTATTCTTATTTTTGAAGGACATTTACCAATTTAATTTTTTAATTTGACATTCTGTTTAAGTGGTCATAAAATTATCCAACAAAGTACATTGCTTCAAAGTTCAAATGCCAGTCTTCCCACTTTATCTTTTTTTTCCAATACTCTAATACACTTTATGGTAGAGTTTTTTAAACACAATAAACACATCTTTGAGATTGGGTCCAAAGTCATTTGGGGTAAACTCAGCAGAGAGGGGAGTAATGTGATTCTGTGCGATGTTTCTCGTATGGGATATGACTTTTTTCCATTCATTTAATTCTCAAAAAGGACTAAAAACACCTCTGTTGGACTGAAATATCAAATGGTTTTAATTTTTTAATGAATTAGATGGACATACTAGGGTCATACAAGTAGATCGTACTGGGCACATGGCACAGATTCACGCATTAAAAAGAATTTGGCCAAGCAACTTTTAAAAATGTTAAACATGCTTGACTGTCAATCATTCTATAAGACACCTTACCCAATTCTTGATGAGCTGTGCCCATGAGCACTGAGAGTGCTATTTGTTCCTTTCTCCAAGTCTCTGCTCTGCGAGCTAGACTCCAGCTCCTCCCCGCTCTCCCCCTTCTCACCCGATGCTTTCTCATTCCCATTCTCCTCTGTGTTAGCAGGTCCATCAGGTTCGCCAACGTCGAACATGAAATGCATGCGATAGCTTATGATCTTGATCACACTGAAGGCGATGGTGATGACGAGGCTGTATACGATCCATACTGCTACTGTGGGTGCGAATGCCTGTAATAAAATACACAAATAAATAATAATAACATCCAAATATAACAGTAATTTTTCTATTTCTATCTACAATTTAAGAATATATTTTAAAGATTGTTTTTACCTTTGTAAACTATGTTGTGATGGGCTAGAGTAGGAAGTACATTTAACCCACTGACTACTGAGTTTTGTCATTCCCATAGACTTAACACAGGGACAACCCGGTTTCAGTAGACAAAAGGTTAAAGACATCACCCCACAGTTACATGCACATGACAATAATTTTCATTAAAATCTCCCGCGCTATAACTGGAATATCTCACAATCCCACTGCCAATTGAACTGTACATATAGTGACAAAAACATGTTTATTAGTTAATGTAATATGTATCTGGTTTAAAAGTTATACCCACATACTCACATAGTATTATTATTCACCTCCCACAGTTGAATGATTGTATGTGCATGTTATTGGGCATGTAATAATTACCATACACACCATTTATGTACATGTACAGTTGTATCATGTTCATTTACTGTACATGTACATGTACAATGTATCCTGTACATGTATGTAACTTTCTCTTTATAAGTGAACATGCCTTCCTATACTTAATTCTCTCCTCTCTTCCTTTCACTATTTTTTCTTTCCTATCAACATTCTGTTATATACAATGTAATTTTCATAATAATATCTATAATGTTCTTTCGGTAACTGTGTTAATTTATTATGGGCGTTCCCAACTCAAGCTATGCTTTCCGGGTTTTCGCCTCCTTCTGTATCTGAATTATTTACTGTATACTCTATGTTGAAATAATTGTTACATATATCATGTATACATGTATATACATTGTGTTTTATATTGTGCTGGTGAGAAGGAAATAAATGTTAATAAATAAATATATATATGAGGAGGAAAATGGCCGCGTTTCGCATGTGGACGTGATTTGCGTCGAGAGCAGTTTTGAGCAGAATTTTATCACCGGTGACGAATATGTGTGACTTATAAACGGTAAATTCTATCAATTTCAACTCTTCTGTGATACTGTGTTAAACTTATAGTCAATATTACGAGCAGATTTATGCGTAATCATGGAGAATAACTCGCCACTCAGTAAGAAACTAAAGTCGAACAATGAGCACGCGGACTCAGCAGTTCCTCACCAGGCTTCCCCGGCAACCGCCGGGAACGTTACAGTGTGCGACCCCCCAGCGAAACGGAACATTCTCTCATCAGTTTCCCACTCTACCCCAGCGGCAGTAGCCGACCTATCAATGAACAAGCCACCACAATGGTTCGTACAATTCTTTGCTGATTTTGAGAATAGACAAGAGGCTCGTATTGAGTCACTTCTCGACAAAAAACTGGGTGACCTTACTTTTAAAGTCGCAGATCATGAAGAGAAGATCAAATGTCTGTCTTTTGAAGTTGATAATATGAAAGATGCTGTACAGGCCTTGCAAATAGAGAATGGAAAGCTGGAAAGCAAGTTAGACGATCTTGAAAATCGTTCTAGAAGAAATAATCTCGTAGTCTTTGGGATCCAGGAATCAGATAACAAGGAAGACTGCAGGAAGGTGATTCAAGATTTCATGCGTTTTGCAGAGGTGCCTGAGGATGTTATCAAGGATATTCAACGATGTCACCGTACACCATCATTTCGGCCCCAGGTAAAGGAGAATTCTCAACAATATCCCAGGAGGATCCACTTAGGTTTTGGCGCCTACACTGCGAAAGAGAGGGCCCGAAAAGCCTGCATTAAGAAGCTTAAGGCTACTACATCATTATACCAAGACCACAAGGTTTTCGTTGCGGAGGATCTCTCGCAACGTGTTCTCCAACTCAGAAAAGCTAAGGCTGGTTCATTCAAGCGTCTCAAGGAAGAGGGCAAAAGGCCTTTTTTCGTTTTTCCGGACAAGTTATGTCATAGGAATCCAGATGGAAAGATGATCATCGCTTAACTTTCTGCTGTCCTCCTTTTATGGGATAATATCATTCATGTGACATTCCAGTTTCATCCCTGATTATTATGTTTGTTTTATGACGTTCTGCTGAAGAATTCCTATATAGGTCTATGGAGATACACGTAGGTGTGAATTAATTGCTTCTGGCTATTTCACCGTGGAGTCTACAGCACTCAACATTTTTTATTCATCACATTATTTGAAAGTTTCTTACTTTGTTTGGAGAATATACATCCGTACGTTCATGTCATCTGTACAAAAGAACTTGCATTAACAAGCTAGTTGACAGTAACTTGGATGTTATTGACAGATGTCTAACTCTCCTTTATTTGGTGAGGGTGAACTTTTAAACATATAAGAGTGTAATTTAAGTTTATTTTACAAGATGTGGAGTTTAAGTGGCCCTGGTCAGTTACAATTTACAACAGTATAAAAGTTCTGTGCCATTTTCATTTTGTCTGTAATTCTTACTGTTTCTCCCTCTGACTCCAACAACACAAGACATTTTTTGTTATATGTTTGCAGAATGCTCTTTTCCTAGTTAGATTGGGAGTTCGAAAAGTCACTTTACCCTTTTTTCTGCTCAGAACTGTTCTGCATGCCTTTGCACTTTTGGTTTGGGCTGTTTTATGATTTGAAGCCTTTGCCGTTCGTTCTCGTGCAACCTTTTTCTCTTTTTTATTGTCTTAATCTTGTCGTTTTGATGATGCTTACATCTACATGTATGTCAATTACTTTTTTAATTTCAAATGATCATGCAGCAATCAGTATTTTGCAGCTTTGTTACATAGGACTGGTTTTTATGACCACAATTCTTATTTCAGTGTTATCTTCATCTACAAGTGTAGTGATTTGGTGTGTATTTATGTGTATATACCATGAATGTTAGGTTAGCTACTTTTAATTGTCGGGGTATACAAGATCATGTCAAAAGAAGAAAATTTTTTCATTACTTAAGATCAATTAATAGTGACATAATATTTTTACAAGAAACTCACTCTTCTAAATCAGATGAACAATTTTGGAAACAACAATGGGGTGAAAAAGCATGGTTTTCTAGCCACGCTTCAAATAGTAGAGGTGTAGCCATTTTGATTCGAAATCGGGTGTCATTGGTCCTTAACTCTTCTTTTATTGACCCCGATGGGAGATACCTGATTTTATCTGTTACCATTAATGAGGTACCTGTGATTTTAGTTAATCTCTATGGTCCAAATAATGATGACCCCAATTTTTTTCTTGAAGTTTTCAGTAAAGTGGATAAACTCGATTACACCTCCATTCTATGCGCTGGGGATTTTAATGCTGTTTTGGGGCCCATGGATTATCAAGGGGGTAGGGACACCCACTCAAATTTCAAATCAAAGGAAATGTTAATAACACTTATGGATGAATTTAATCTTTGTGACATTTGGCGCAGTTTTCATCCAAACCTGAAGCAATATACGAGACATCAAAAAAAACCTAGAGTGTTATCCAGGATTGATTTCATTCTTGTTTCTGATAATTTTGTTACCAATTGTTTGCAATCTAAAATAATCCCAGGAATCCAATCCGACCATTCCCTTGTTACATTAAATTTTAAAGGTGCTCAACCACTAAGGGGCCGAGGATTTTGGAAACTGAATTGCAAATATTTACATAATGATGCAGACTTTAGTAGAATTATCATTGACAAAATAGAAGATTTTAAATTAATTCATTCCAAAAGCGATTGCAATCCAAATATTTTATGGGACTCTTTAAAGTGCACCATTACTGGCATTTGTATAGAATATTGTACACGTAAAAAGAAGGAAAAGGATTTTGCAAAAAAATACCTTTTGGCGGAAATAGAAGATATAGAGAAAAAATTAAGTGCTGATTTAAATAACAATGAGCTTATTAATGAAAAGGATTTTTTAACCCAGGCTTTAAATGATATTTTAGATGTGGAAACCAAAGGTTTAATTATTCGCTCACGACTTCGATGGGCTGAAGAAGGAGAAAAAAGCTCCAAATATTTTTGTAATTTAGAAAAAAGAACTGGAGAGAAGAAAAGTATTTTCAAATTAAAGAATGAAGATGATGATATTATTGTTAATCAACACGCTATACTGGAGGAAATTAATTCATTTTATCAAACCCTTTACACAAAACACTGTGGTGACAATAATTCAGATAATGAAATGGAGGACTTTTTAGACTCTATTGAATTCCCTCAATTAAATGAAGTTGATAAGGTTCTTCTTGATAAACCCATCTCTAAAAAGGAATTATTTGATACAATTGCTTCAATGAAACATAACAAGTCACCAGGTTTGGATGGATTACCTGTAGAATTTTATATTGTGTTTTGGAAAGATATTTCTGATATGCTTATAGACTCATTTAATTTCTCCTTACAGAATGGACTAATGTCTAGCTCACAAAGAAACGGAGTTATTACCTTGATTCCAAAAAAAGACAGGGATGCCTCCTACTTAAAAAATTTCAGACCTATATCCCTGTTAACAGTAGATTACAAAATTTTAGCCAAAACTTTAGCAAACCGTGTAAAAAAAATCCTTTCAGATTTGATTCATCCAGACCAATCTGGTTTTTTAAAAGGAAGGAATATTGGAAACAATGTGAGATTAATTATTGATATAATTGAATATACAGAATCAGAACAAATTCCTGGTGCAATCCTTTCCTTGATATTCAAAAAGCTTTTGATAGTGTTTCCCATGATTTCCTATGTTGTGTACTAAGAAAATTCAATTTCAGTAATGAATTCATTGATTGGATAAAAGTATTTTACTCCGGTAGGAAAAGTTATGTATCTAACTATGGTAATTTGACCAGACCACTTAATATGGAAAGAGGTATTTTCCAAGGGTGTCCCATATCCCCATATTTATTTTTGCTAGTTATTGAATCTATGGCTCTTGCTATTCGACAAAATCCTAATATTCAAGGTATCCCAGTTGCAGAAAATGAACTGAAAATTTCTTTGTTAGCAGATGATTCTACGTGCTTTATTGATGGCTCAGATAACTCTTTTAAATCATTATTCGACACTATTGGGTTTTTTTCTGAGAGCTCTGGCTGTAAACTTAATATTTCAAAATCAGAGGCAATATGGATTGGTTCTTTGAAGGGTTGTCAAAGGTATCCATTTTGTGAGAAAGGTCTGAAGTGGAATAAATTTACTTTTAAGACTTTAGGCATTCACTTTTCTTTGACCACAGATCATTTATATGACCTTAACCATAAGATAAAACTCAAATCCATTGAAAACACCCTAAATTGTTGGCGCGCAAGAAATTTATCTCTGGTCGGGAAGATCTGTGTCGTAAAGACCCTATTGCTGCCACAAGTTCTTTATTTTTTTTCTGTGTTGTGTATTAAAATACCTAAGAAATTTTTTAGACAGTTAAATACAATACTGTATAAATTTATATGGAATGGTGGCAGTGATAGGGTCAAAAGAAGGCTCATGTGTAATGATTACTCTTTGGGTGGTTTAAAAATGATAGATCCATACACATTCTCTATTGCTCAAAAAATGTCATGGGTCAAAATGCTTCTTGATGATAAATATCAAAGCGTGTGGAAGTCCATTGAAATGTCTATTTTAAATAATTTCAGTAGCAGAGAGGATATACTATGGAAAGCATATGCTCCTCAAAGTATATTAAACAAATTAGGTTCATGTCAATTAGCTGAATCCCTTCAAACATGGTATATATTTAGAGAAAATTTTGCTAAAACTGAGTTCGGTACAGTCTTTTCCGCAATTGGCTCTTGTCAGTGTATTTGGTTTAACAGAAATATCTGTTCAAAATCAAAACATTATTTTTTATATGAAGATTGGTTGGACAAAGGAATTGTCTATATCAGTGATTTACTCAACCCTCCCCACCCAGGTAATAAACTTTTTGAAGAGCTTATTCTGGATTATGATATTGGTAAAAAAGACAGGCGGAAATACAATTTTTTATTGAGAAATATACCAAATGACTTGCTAGTCACTTCTGACTTAACCCCTGACAAAATATTTGATGACGTTAAAACTAAGCTCTTGAAAACTCTAAAAATTCCAAAATATGCATACAGTACAATGCTAGAGTCATGTTCTCCAGAACGTCAAATCTTATTTTGGAATGACCTCCAAGAACCTGACGAAGTTGATTGGGAAAAGACTCATGTGAATAACTTTAAATGCACTATAAGTACTCGTATTCGCTCTTTCTACTTTAAGTTATTTCATAGAGCTATAGGTTTGAATGAGTTTTTGTATAAAATTAAAAGGAAGGTCTCCCCCAATTGTTAGGTGATACGTAACGAAGTCAACGTATCACCTTTTGATTTCGTCAAGATTTTCTTTTTTTTTTTTATTATTATTCTTCCTCGAATTTGTTCGCAGGATATCTCAAGACTCAATAAAGCCATTGTTATGAATCTTTCACTGATGATAGATCTTAGTCTAACTTAGAACTGCGTGACTTTTCAAAGACTCAAAGTCATCGTGACGTCATCCAGGCGCCATTTTGTAAAAATCAACTTATGATCATATCTTCATAACGGAAAGTAATTTTACATTCATATTTATCAAGATTAAGATCAATATCCGTCGGATCAATATGAGGTCAATAAATGCGCGCAAAAATGCGCGTACGCGTAGGCGCGCGCGTCAATGCGCGCGTAAAATTTTAAATTGCTCAAAATCGTCTTAAACTTTTTTTGCATACGTTTCAGGCCATTATAAGCATTTCATAAAAAATCACGCAAAACACGCATTTTTGCACGTTTTCGTTCGTCACGGCCGAACGAAAAATAATTTCTCCGCAAAAGCTTTTGACCGAATATTCCTCATATTTTTCCGGAAAATTTGATACCATGTTAAGCTCTTTATCACTATTAAAAACGGAATGAGCGTCCGTTCAAGATAACCGTCCGTACGCGCGATTTTTGTAATACATTGCATATATGGGCAAAAACATGCCTATGAAAAGTCCATTGGGATGAATAGGGATTGCCAATTTTTTTTTCATATTTAGATAGAGTATGAGTCGGAGGTAGGATTTCATATCTCATTTGGCCATTAAGTACATCTTAACGTCATCATAATGGCCTTGGAAGTCAAAAATACAAAATTGCATATTATGACGTCATTGTATTTATGGAAAATGTAGTGTATTTCTCTCAATATTCATCGATTTTCTTTGAAATGTCGATATGTTGTAGATAAGGCAATTCTCTACACGATCACTTTTCACTAAGTTTCATTTTAATGAGGTCATCATAGTACAAAATTCAATTAAAGGCCACATGTCAGAATTTTCGTCATTTGCGTGTTATGTCTATGGAGGGTGAATTTTGTCCACACTATGAATCTACATCACATCCATCTTTCAGCACTATCTCGCTCATTTGTGCTCTGTTTTCTCCCAAATTTGGGTATGTTATAGCTGAGACCATGGGCTATAAAAACGGTGTACTTTGTTTTTTAATCAGATGTTGGGATCATGTTAAAATTTTCGATCGAAAGTTGAAATTGCAAATTTTGAAGGAATCATTAGGTGATACGTAACGAAGTCAACGTATCATTAGGTGATACGTAACGAAGTCAACGTATCACCTTTTGATTTCGTCAAGATTTTCTTTTTTTTTTTTATTATTATTCTTCCTCGAATTTGTTCGCAGGATATCTCAAGACTCAATAAAGCCATTGTTATGAATCTTTCACTGATGATAGATCTTAGTCTAACTTAGAACTGCGTGACTTTTCAAAGACTCAAAGTCATCGTGACGTCATCCAGGCGCCATTTTGTAAAAATCAACTTATGATCATATCTTCATAACGGAAAGTAATTTTACATTCATATTTATCAAGATTAAGATCAATATCCGTCGGATCAATATGAGGTCAATAAATGCGCGCAAAAATGCGCGTACGCGTAGGCGCGCGCGTCAATGCGCGCGTAAAATTTTAAATTGCTCAAAATCGTCTTAAACTTTTTTTGCATACGTTTCAGGCCATTATAAGCATTTCATAAAAAATCACGCAAAACACGCATTTTTGCACGTTTTCGTTCGTCACGGCCGAACGAAAAATAATTTCTCCGCAAAAGCTTTTGACCGAATATTCCTCATATTTTTCCGGAAAATTTGATACCATGTTAAGCTCTTTATCACTATTAAAAACGGAATGAGCGTCCGTTCAAGATAACCGTCCGTACGCGCGATTTTTGTAATACATTGCATATATGGGCAAAAACATGCCTATGAAAAGTCCATTGGGATGAATAGGGATTGCCAATTTTTTTTTCATATTTAGATAGAGTATGAGTCGGAGGTAGGATTTCATATCTCATTTGGCCATTAAGTACATCTTAACGTCATCATAATGGCCTTGGAAGTCAAAAATACAAAATTGCATATTATGACGTCATTGTATTTATGGAAAATGTAGTGTATTTCTCTCAATATTCATCGATTCTCTTTGAAATGTCGATATGTTGTAGATAAGGCAATTCTCTACACGATCACTTTTCACTAAGTTTCATTTTAATGAGGTCATCATAGTACAAAATTCAATTAAAGGCCACATGTCAGAATTTTCGTCATTTGCGTGTTATGTCTATGGAGGGTGAATTTTGTCCACACTATGAATCTACATCACATCCATCTTTCAGCACTATCTCGCTCATTTGTGCTCTGTTTTCTCCCAAATTTGGGTATGTTATAGCTGAGACCATGGGCTATAAAAACGGTGTACTTTGTTTTTTAATCAGATGTTGGGATCATGTTAAAATTTTCGATCGAAAGTTGAAATTGCAAATTTTGAAGGAATCATTAGGTGATACGCAACGAAGTCAACGTATCATTAGGTGATACGTAACGAAGTCAACGTATCACCTTTTGATTTCGTCAAGATTTTCTTTTTTTTTTTTATTATTATTCTTCCTCGAATTTGTTCGCAGGATATCTCAAGACTCAATAAAGCCATTGTTATGAATCTTTCACTGATGATAGATCTTAGTCTAACTTAGAACTGCGTGACTTTTCAAAGACTCAAAGTCATCGTGACGTCATCCAGGCGCCATTTTGTAAAAATCAACTTATGATCATATCTTCATAACGGAAAGTAATTTTACATTCATATTTATCAAGATTAAGATCAATATCCGTCGGATCAATATGAGGTCAATAAATGCGCGCAAAAATGCGCGTACGCGTAGGCGCGCGCGTCAATGCGCGCGTAAAATTTTAAATTGCTCAAAATCGTCTTAAACTTTTTTTGCATACGTTTCAGGCCATTATAAGCATTTCATAAAAAATCACGCAAAACACGCATTTTTGCACGTTTTCGTTCGTCACGGCCGAACGAAAAATAATTTCTCCGCAAAAGCTTTTGACCGAATATTCCTCATATTTTTCCGGAAAATTTGATACCATGTTAAGCTCTTTATCACTATTAAAAACGGAATGAGCGTCCGTTCAAGATAACCGTCCGTACGCGCGATTTTTGTAATACATTGCATATATGGGCAAAAACATGCCTATGAAAAGTCCATTGGGATGAATAGGGATTGCCAATTTTTTTTTCATATTTAGATAGAGTATGAGTCGGAGGTAGGATTTCATATCTCATTTGGCCATTAAGTACATCTTAACGTCATCATAATGGCCTTGGAAGTCAAAAATACAAAATTGCATATTATGACGTCATTGTATTTATGGAAAATGTAGTGTATTTCTCTCAATATTCATCGATTTTCTTTGAAATGTCGATATGTTGTAGATAAGGCAATTCTCTACACGATCACTTTTCACTAAGTTTCATTTTAATGAGGTCATCATAGTACAAAATTCAATTAAAGGCCACATGTCAGAATTTTCGTCATTTGCGTGTTATGTCTATGGAGGGTGAATTTTGTCCACACTATGAATCTACATCACATCCATCTTTCAGCACTATCTCGCTCATTTGTGCTCTGTTTTCTCCCAAATTTGGGTATGTTATAGCTGAGACCATGGGCTATAAAAACGGTGTACTTTGTTTTTTAATCAGATGTTGGGATCATGTTAAAATTTTCGATCGAAAGTTGAAATTGCAAATTTTGAAGGAATCATTAGGTGATACGTAACGAAGTCAACGTATCATTAGGTGATACGTAACGAAGTCAACGTATCACCTTTTGATTTCGTCAAGATTTTCTTTTTTTTTTTTATTATTATTCTTCCTCGAATTTGTTCGCAGGATATCTCAAGACTCAATAAAGCCATTGTTATGAATCTTTCACTGATGATAGATCTTAGTCTAACTTAGAACTGCGTGACTTTTCAAAGACTCAAAGTCATCGTGACGTCATCCAGGCGCCATTTTGTAAAAATCAACTTATGATCATATCTTCATAACGGAAAGTAATTTTACATTCATATTTATCAAGATTAAGATCAATATCCGTCGGATCAATATGAGGTCAATAAATGCGCGCAAAAATGCGCGTACGCGTAGGCGCGCGCGTCAATGCGCGCGTAAAATTTTAAATTGCTCAAAATCGTCTTAAACTTTTTTTGCATACGTTTCAGGCCATTATAAGCATTTCATAAAAAATCACGCAAAACACGCATTTTTGCACGTTTTCGTTCGTCACGGCCGAACGAAAAATAATTTCTCCGCAAAAGCTTTTGACCGAATATTCCTCATATTTTTCCGGAAAATTTGATACCATGTTAAGCTCTTTATCACTATTAAAAACGGAATGAGCGTCCGTTCAAGATAACCGTCCGTACGCGCGATTTTTGTAATACATTGCATATATGGGCAAAAACATGCCTATGAAAAGTCCATTGGGATGAATAGGGATTGCCAATTTTTTTTTCATATTTAGATAGAGTATGAGTCGGAGGTAGGATTTCATATCTCATTTGGCCATTAAGTACATCTTAACGTCATCATAATGGCCTTGGAAGTCAAAAATACAAAATTGCATATTATGACGTCATTGTATTTATGGAAAATGTAGTGTATTTCTCTCAATATTCATCGATTCTCTTTGAAATGTCGATATGTTGTAGATAAGGCAATTCTCTACACGATCACTTTTCACTAAGTTTCATTTTAATGAGGTCATCATAGTACAAAATTCAATTAAAGGCCACATGTCAGAATTTTCGTCATTTGCGTGTTATGTCTATGGAGGGTGAATTTTGTCCACACTATGAATCTACATCACATCCATCTTTCAGCACTATCTCGCTCATTTGTGCTCTGTTTTCTCCCAAATTTGGGTATGTTATAGCTGAGACCATGGGCTATA